ATAGAAGGTAGATCTGCGCAGTTTCGAGGCACTGGTTTCCAAGGAACGTTCTGATGGGGTCATCATGACCTCAAAATAACAATACGCACGTTGATATTTTTCGTATGACCTGGAGTGCTTTGAAAACAAGGAAAGCCATTGTAGCATTTGTTGTATGATAGAAATCACCATTTGTGCTATATAAAGCTGTGAATGCTTTAGTCTTAACTGTAGTATTTGCATGAGTCAAAGCGAACTTTAATTTATATATTCTTTTTGTATGAAATCGGTGATTTTTTTCAAGGAATTGCTCAGATAGTTAAGCGAGTCCGGCGACGGCGAGAGCGGCGGTGCGGGGACACCGTGCCACGGGAAGCATGCAAGGACGCTTCCCCGTACATTTTCTGAGTGGAATGACCTTTGTGACGTGAGGGACGACATGAAGACTGCTTACGTGTGCTGGCCTGCCGCGACCACGCTGTTGCAGGCAGCCACAATTGCTTCGCTTTATGGTAATATATGATCGTTTTTAACTTGAGAAAAGGGGATGCTGAAAGAAAAGGATTCGTCCTTTTTTCTTTTCCGAGAATCGTGATGAAACTTTAATCTAGCTCTCTCTTTACTCTTCCAGGTGCGGACCAGTGGCTCTGTCAAACATTCCATGCGTAATAGCCCGAAGTGTAAAGTGGTGATTGTTAGTGCCTTCTTTTCATTTTTTTCCATAAGGAGGATTTTTTAAATAAATATTTTGATGTAAATCAACGTCTATCTAGGTCCTCCCTGAATAAAAAAACCGGGCACCCTATACACTATTAACTATAAATGTTATAAATGGAAATACCACTTTAGAGTCAATACCTCACTGACATTAACGATACGTATTTAAAAACAATAATAACAATAATAACCATATTAAACGAAATCAAAGGGTAATCCACACTTAATACGGCGTCGCCATACCCTATCAAAGAGATGAGCCAGTTCAGACTCGATCTCGTTATCCGAAATTTCGTCCTCATCGACGTCACCGTCATCATCATCGTTTTTGCAATTCTTTCCTTCCTGCTGCTTCTGTTTTTGAGAAGAATCTTTCATCGGGGGCAGAAGAGTGATCTTCCTGCGCGGAGACACCACAGGAAGACGTTCGGTTTTGCCATCCTTGTTTTTCTGCATTTCCTGTAGTTCTTCTGACTTCCCGCTGTGGGGGAACAAGTGTTGTGAGACCACGAATACTGGTGATCGGGAGGATCATTATAGATGGACTATGTGCCTTTGGAATAATGCTTTGGTAGGTGTACTAAACGATTGTGTTGTGTTTTTACTTACTTTTCTTTCATCCCCATTTTCTGGTCAATGTACTTTGTTACTCTGTCAATTCTGAAAAAAAAATTAAATCCTCTTTATTTAAGTAATTACCTAAGTTAAATGTGTCAACAGACAAGACCTTCTCATATGTATAGTGTCAAACAGATCCAACACTACGGAACACAACACTGATCACGGCGCACTCACTTGTCGCTCATCCTCTTCACGCGCGCCTGAAGGCTGTTCTCCTCAGCCGCATGGATCCTCGCCAGGAAAGCCTGTGTTGCCTCCTTCTCGATCAGCCTCAGTGTTACCATAGCGTCGCTCTCGTATTCAGTCGCTGGCATTGTATGGGATAATTATCGGTTATCTTCGAGTGTTCTACTTCATGTTTGATTATGCACACTTTTCTCTGTATTTAGTACCATGAAAAAATAAACTAGGCATAGGGAAACACTAAAATGACTCCTCACCAGACGGTAATATCGAATTTATGCCTCAGTTTTACACATACACATTTCATCCAAAAAGCTTCGATAACGAATAACATTCAATAATACTTACACTCTTCTTCGGCCTTAGCAGCACAACAAGCTCTCCCCACAGCCTTAAAGAACTGCCAGAAATGCTGCACTAACACAAGGGGTATTACCAAAACAGGTTTCTTCTCATATTCACGAATCAGGCGGTACATCTCGAACTTCCAGATCTCCATGCTGTTCTCATGGACCTCGTCGAATACATGCCTTGGGATTATATGGAAAGGGTGTACATAGAGCGGAATGCTATGGCTTAGTTATGTAGGCATGTACTATGTTGGATGTAGATTTCCATGCAGATTTCTTCAGCATGAAATTAACATGTTCCTAGTATGTGGATGAAATATGTGTGGCGGTACTGTAGTTATGTTCTTGTATAAATGTACACACTGTGGAATAGTTGTTTTTAAAGCCCGTGGTAAGATCTGTATGCCCATGCCGTTTCCATGGTCTGAGAGAGGTGTGCTATGCGAGGGAGTTTCATCATGATGCGGAGACAGACGAGATAAGGATAAGAGAAAATACAGGTGATTCGAAATGAAGGAAGCAAGAACAAGCTTTCCAAAATCATGGAGCATTGAAATTTTCCAAATGTAAGTCATATAATGGACGTCTTGATCTCTACATCATCGAAAATTAACCGATGTAAATATTACATGCATACCTAACAATACGAAATTATTTATCCTTATTCATCCTTTTCTCTCGTTTGTCAAACCAAAACTCCAGCACATCCATTTGGCGCTACGAAGCCACTCACGTGAAAATAGCGATGAGTAAGTTGAGTAACATGATGTTCCCGATGATGAGGTAGACGAAGAGCATTAGCTTGACAGTCCACTTGTAATCGGCGGGGTTCTCGCACACGCAGTCTCGCAAGCAGTCCTGAGTCTGGTTCAAGCACGAGTCCGCGACCCGACAAGATTTCTCGTGACATGTCTCATGGTCGGTACCTGCAAATGCATAAAGTAGGGCTTGGCTGATAAGAAAGCATCCATATTTCTCTCTCTCCATCTGTATCTGCAGCTAAACATGCGCTTCTCAATCACGCTTTTATACCTGATTATTTCCATCTACGCTTAGCCCTCTTGCTCCAACATTTGATCATAATCAATATATTTCCATAGGTCGTTCGGTCTCCAGTCATCGTGTTCCGCTTACTTTACACTTACTGATTTTACACATTTCTACATGCATCTGTTAATCTCAACACGCCCATCACTCTATCACCAAATCCTTATATCTATCCATCTTTGCACACACCTACCTACCTGTCGATCACACGCGACAGACGGCAAAACTCACCTACGATTTGGTCCAGCAGAAGCTCTCCGTACATCTGCCAATAGGGCGTGAGGATGACGCTTTCGACGATGTTTCCCACTTCGGTGACGTTGAAGGTGAAGGAGTAGTGGGACGGGTGCAGGAGGGACTGGGACGCGATGCCGTAGCCCAGGATGAAGATCACCAGCAGCGCCATGAACACCAGGACTTCGGTGATCTGGAGGAAGGGGGAAAGAGAGGGGAATGGGTGTATGTTTGTTTACTTTTAAGTACGCGTACGTTTGTATGAACATTCTCTCTCTCTCTCTCTCTCTCTCTCTCTCTCTCTCTCTCTCTCTCTCTCTCTCTCTCTCTCAAACCTGTCAGTGTTAATCCTATTTCTGTGAGAAAAAATATTTCATTTTACAGATTTTCGCTTTACCGGACCAACGTCTAACCTATCCAACCGAGAACTAAGCATCCGTAATAAGAACTAACACGCAGTCGCGGAACTAACCATCCTGTAGAAGATGACAAGCTTGGGTCCCAGGTGGTAGTTGACGTGGTACATCCTGAAGAGGCGGCAGTAGAAGAAGGCCGTGTTGATAGCATAGAATGTGCGGCCCCACTTGAACGTGCTGCGGATGAGCCGAAGAGCCAGGGCGCTGAAGGCCAGGACGACCGCCATCAGGTCGAAGCGACTCCACACGCTAGACGACCAGTCCTTCAGCTTGTCCCAGGGCTTCGAGGACTGCTCCATGCAGATCTGGGAAGGGCGTGGTGCGGGATCCTTTTATAGGAGGCCTCGAAGGGGTTTATGGCGATTCAGGTCTTACGTGTTGACTTTTTTTTCGAAAATGTGACATGGTTATTTGATAGATTTAACTTGATCCGATGGTTTTACAGACTGTCCATTTTTTCTTCTTTATTTTTACACTACTGCTCATTTTGAAATCTGCTGTCTCCGAGAACATATTATCAGCTTTCAAATTTTAGAAATGCTTACTCCTTCAGTATATTCTCCACTTTTAAGAAATATATATTTGAAAGTGATCCATAATTGCTTACTTCTTAGTTCCCTAACCCCAGTACGAGACCTAAAGAATAAATATATAAACTTATAAAAGACAGGAATGATTAAATGAATAAACATCCAAAGAATTATATAACAGTTGGACAAATTACCAAATACAGACGCCTACCCTAAGTAAACAAACCAAATAAAGAACAAAAATCACGGAAGGAACAGCCGCCATACCTCAGAAACCTTCTCCACGGCGACTGCGCTGATCCAAACAATAACGAGCATTTCGGTCACGGACATCTCGTACTTGAAGTCGAACATGACCACGTACGAGTAGAGGAGGAGGAAGGCGACGTAGGAGGTGGTGTGGGCGTAGAACTTGGAGATGGGCGACTTGTAGAACACGATCAGCTTCTGCCGTGCGGTCAGGTCACTCCCCTTGTCGCCGAGCTTTTGAAATCTGGTGTTGGAAGTTTATCATTTTATTATCGTTGCATTATTGTTGCTGCTGCTGCTGCTGCTGCTATTATTATTATTATTATATATTATCATCATTATCATTAATACTATTATTATTATTATTATTATTATTATTATTATTATTATTATTATTATTATTATTATTATCATCATTATGATTACCACTATCATTACTATTATCATTCTTATTATTATTATTATCATTTTCATCAGGATCATCATTATCATGATCATCATTATCACTATTAATTTCATTAGCTTTATTATCCTTATTAGTACTGTTATTATCATTACCATTGTTATTATCTTCATAGTCATTACCAATAACAAAATTATTATCATCATAATAATTATTATTACGTAAAGGCATGCATTACTAAATGAAAGTTAAATTCAATGTAAATGATTAATGCATGGGCATTTCTCGTGTAGAAGTGACAGATGATACTAATATAAACGGAATTTCAGCACTGAATGTACTTTACAATTATTGCTACCAAGAGACCATCATAGGAGATCATCATAATGATTAATCACAAATAAGGCAGAAATAATCATTCCATAAAAGTTCGTCTTTTATTATCAGTGATCGTTCTAAAGTGCACCTAATCAAACCCGAAAACCGTGATCGCATCATAAAACTATTCTAGGTTCTCTTCTCTGACCCGGAAATATTGAGGTCTTCCGTTTAGACATAGAGGCCGAAAATACTAAGACTTAACTTCTATTTATCGCCTTCTATCATAAGCGTGAATCAAACCAAGCACTCACTGGAAGAGTTTCGGCCAAAATATAAGTAGGGGAAAGACGTTCGCGATAATAACAGCAAAATAGGGTGCCTTCGCCATGCCTCTCCGCCAGTTGAGCTCGATGGTCGCCTGGGAGCACGGGGCCGCAATGAAGAAGAGGTCGTTGGCGAAGTAGGCCAACTCGAGGCAGGTCAGTTGGCCCCACCTGGCGTTCCTCCGCTCGATGAGGCCCACGGCATTGGTCGGGTCTTGTTTGGTAAACACACGTTCAAAGCTGGCGGAAAAGACATTCAGTGGCTGAAATTCGTTATATTAGTATCATCTGTCACTTCTACACGAGGAAATGCCCATGCATTAATCATTTACATTGAATTTACTTCATTTAGTAATGCATGCCTTTACGTAATAATAATTATTATGATGATAATAATTTGTTATGGTATGACTATGAGATAATAACAATGGTAAGTGATAATAACAGATACAATAAGGATAATAAGCTAATCAAAATTAATAAGTTGATAATGATGTATCATGATAATGATGATGATTCTGATGAAAATGATAATAATAATTAATAAGAATGATAATAGTAATGATAGTGGTAATCATAATGATGATAATAATAATAATAATAATATAATAATAAATAATAATAATAATAATAATAATGATAAGATAAATAGATATAAATAATATAATAATAATAATAGCAGCAGCAGCAGCAGCAGCAACAATAATGCAACGATAATAAAATGATAAACTTTCCAACACCAGATTTCAAAAGCTCGGCGACAAGGGAGTGACCTGACCGCACGCAGAAGCTGATCGTGTTCTACAAGTCGCCCATCTCCAAGTTCTACGCCCACACCACCTCCTACGTCGCCTTCCTCCTCCTCTACTCGTACGTGGTCATGTTCGACTTCAAGTACGAGATGTCCGTGACCGAAATGCTCGTTATTGTTTGGATCAGCGCAGTCGCCCGTGAGAAGGTTCTGAGGTATGGCGCTGTTCCTTCCGTGATTTTTTCTTTTATTTTGGTTTGTTTACTTAGGGTAGGCGTCTGTATTAATTTGTCCAACTGTTATATAATTCTTGGATGTTTATTCATTTAATCATTCCTGTCTTTATAAGTTTTTATATATTTATTCTTTAGGTCTCGTACTGGGGTTAGGGAACTAAGAAGTAAGCAATTATGGATCACTTTCAAATATATATTTCTTAAAAGTGGAGAATATACTGAAGGAGTAAGCATTTCTAAAATTTGAAAGCTGATAATATGTTCTCGGAGACAGCAGATTTCAAAATGAGCAGTAGTGTAAAAATAAAGAAGAAAAAATGGACAGTCTGTAAAACCATCGGATCAAGTTAAATCTATCAAATAACCATGTCACATTTTCGAAAAAAAAGTCAACACGTAAGACCTGAATCGCCATAAACCCCTTCGAGGCCTCCTATAAAAGGATCCCGCACCACGCCCTTCCCAGATCTGCATGGAGCAGTCCTCGAAGCCCTGGGACAAGCTGAAGGACTGGTCGTCTAGCGTGTGGAGTCGCTTCGACCTGATGGCGGTCGTCCTGGCCTTCAGCGCCCTGGCTCTTCGGCTCATCCGCAGCACGTTCAAGTGGGGCCGCACATTCTATGCTATCAACACGGCCTTCTTCTACTGCCGCCTCTTCAGGATGTACCACGTCAACTACCACCTGGGACCCAAGCTTGTCATCTTCTACAGGATGGTTAGTTCCGCGACTGCGTGTTAGTTCTTATTACGGATGCTTAGTTCTCGGTTGGATAGGTTAGACGTTGGTCCGGTAAAGCGAAAATCTGTAAAATGAAATATTTTTCTCACAGAAATAGGATTAACACTGACAGGTTTGAGAGAGAGAGAGAGAGAGAGAGAGAGAGAGAGAGAGAGAGAGAGAGAGAGAGAGAGAGAGAGGAGAAGAGTCATACAAACGTACGCGTACTTAAAAGTAAACAACATACACCCATTCCCCTCTCTTTCCCCCTTCCTCCAGATCACCGAAGTCCTGGTGTCATGGCGCTGCTGTGATCTTCATCCTGGGCTACGGCATCGCGTCCCAGTCCCTCCTGCACCCGTCCCACTACTCCTTCACCTTCAACGTCACCGAAGTGGGAAACATCGTCGAAAGCGTCATCCTCACGCCCTATTGGCAGATGTACGGAGAGCTTCTGCTGGACCAAATCGTAGGTGAGTTTGCCGTCTGTCGCGTGTGATCGACAGGTAGGTAGGTGTGTGCAAAGATGGATAGATATAAGGATTTGGTGATAGAGTGATGGGCGTGTTGAGATTAACAGATGCATGTAGAAATGTGTAAAATCAGTAATGTTAAAGTAAGCGGAACACGATGACTGGGACCGAACGACCTATGGAAATATATTGATTATGATCAAATGTTGGAGCAAGAGGGCTAAGCGTAGATGGAAATAATCAGGTATAAAAGCGTGATTGAGAAGCGCATGTTTAGCTGCAGATACAGATGGAGAGAGAGAAATATGGATGCTTTCTTATCAGCCAAGCCCTACTTTATGCATTTGCAGGTACCGACCATGAGACATGTCACGAGAAATCTTGTCGGGTCGCGGACTCGTGCTTGAACCAGACTCAGGACTGCTTGCGAGACTGCGTGTGCGAGAACCCCGCCGATTACAAGTGGACTGTCAAGCTAATGCTCTTCGTCTACCTCATCATCGGGAACATCATGTTACTCAACTTACTCATCGCTATTTTCACGTGAGTGGCTTCGTAGCGCCAAATGGATGTGCTGGAGTTTTGGTTTGACAAACGAGAGAAAAGGATGAATAAGGATAAATAATTTTCGTATTGTTAGGTATGCATGTAATATTTACATCGGTTAATTTTCGATGATGTAGAGATCAAGACGTCCATTATGACTTACATTTGGAAAATTTCAATGCTCCATGATTTTGGAAAGCTTGTTCTTGCTTCCTTCATTTCGAATCACCTGTATTTTCTCTTATCCTTATCTCGTCTGTCTCCGCATCATGATGAAACTCCCTCGCATAGCACACCTCTCTCAGACCATGGAAACGGCATGGGCATACAGATCTTACCACGGGCTTTAAAAACAACTATTCCACAGTGTGTACATTTATACAAGAACATAACTACAGTACCGCCACACATATTTCATCCACATACTAGGAACATGTTAATTTCATGCTGAAGAAATCTGCATGGAAATCTACATCCAACATAGTACATGCCTACATAACTCAGCCATAGCATTCCGCTCTATGTACACCCTTTCCATATAATCCCAAGGCATGTATTCGACGAGGTCCATGAGAACAGCATGGAGATCTGGAAGTTCGAGATGTACCGCCTGATTCGTGAATATGAGAAGAAACCTGTTTTGGTAATACCCCTTGTGTTAGTGCAGCATTTCTGGCAGTTCTTTAAGGCTGTGGGGAGAGCTTGTTGTGCTGCTAAGGCCGAAGAAGAGTGTAAGTATTATTGAATGTTATTCGTTATCGAAGCTTTTTGGATGAAATGTGTATGTGTAAAACTGAGGCATAAATTCGATATTACCGTCTGGTGAGGAGTCATTTTAGTGTTTCCCTATGCCTAGTTTATTTTTTCATGGTACTAAATACAGAGAAAAGTGTGCATAATCAAACATGAAGTAGAACACTCGAAGATAACCGATAATTATCCCATACAATGCCAGCGACTGAATACGAGAGCGACGCTATGGTAACACTGAGGCTGATCGAGAAGGAGGCAACACAGGCTTTCCTGGCGAGGATCCATGCGGCTGAGGAGAACAGCCTTCAGGCGCGCGTGAAGAGGATGAGCGACAAGTGAGTGCGCCGTGATCAGTGTTGTGTTCCGTAGTGTTGGATCTGTTTGACACTATACATATGAGAAGGTCTTGTCTGTTGACACATTTAACTTAGGTAATTACTTAAATAAAGAGGATTTAATCTTTTTTCAGAATTGACAGAGTAACAAAGTACATTGACCAGAAAATGGGGATGAAAGAAAAGTAAGTAAAACACAACACAATCGTTTAGTACACCTACCAAAGCATTATTCCAAAGGCACATAGTCCATCTATAATGATCCTCCCGATCACCAGTATTCGTGGTCTCACAACACTTGTTCCCCCACAGCGGGAAGTCAGAAGAACTACAGGAAATGCAGAAAAACAAGGATGGCAAAACCGAACGTCTTCCTGTGGTGTCTCCGCGCAGGAAGATCACTCTTCTGCCCCCGATGAAAGATTCTTCTCAAAAACAGAAGCAGCAGGAAGGAAAGAATTGCAAAAACGATGATGATGACGGTGACGTCGATGAGGACGAAATTTCGGATAACGAGATCGAGTCTGAACTGGCTCATCTCTTTGATAGGGTATGGCGACGCCGTATTAAGTGTGGATTACCCTTTGATTTCGTTTAATATGGTTATTATTGTTATTATTGTTTTTAAATACGTATCGTTAATGTCAGTGAGGTATTGACTCTAAAGTGGTATTTCCATTTATAACATTTATAGTTAATAGTGTATAGGGTGCCCGGTTTTTTTATTCAGGGAGACCTAGATAGACGTTGATTTACATCAAAATATTTATTTAAAAAATCCTCCTTATGGAAAAAATGAAAAGAAGGCACTAACAATCACCACTTTACACTTCGGGCTATTACGCATGGAATGTTTGACAGAGCCACTGGTCCGCACCTGGAAGAGTAAAGAGAGAGCTAGATTAAAGTTTCATCACGATTCTCGGAAAAGAAAAAAGGACGAATCCTTTTCTTTCAGCATCCCCTTTTCTCAAGTTAAAAACAATCATATATTACCATAAAGCGAAGCAATTGTGGCTGCCTGCAACAGCGTGGTCGCGGCAGGCCAGCACACGTAAGCAGTCTTCATGTCGTCCCTCACGTCACAAAGGTCATTCCACTCAGAAAATGTACGGGGAAGCGTCCTTGCATGCTTCCCGTGGCACGGTGTCCCCGCACCGCCGCTCTCGCCGTCGCCGGACTCGCTTAACTATCTGAGCAATTCCTTGAAAAAAATCACCGATTTCATACAAAAAGAATATATAAATTAAAGTTCGCTTTGACTCATGCAGATACTACAATTAAGACTAAAGCATTCACAGCTTTATATAACACAAATGGTGATTTCTATCATACAACAAATGCTACAATGGCTTTCCTTGTTTTCAAAGCACTCCAGGTCATACGAAAAATATCAACGTGCGTATTGTTATTTTGAGGTCATGATGACCCCATCAGAACGTTCCTTGGAAACCAGTGCCTCGAAACTGCGCAGATCTACCTTCTATCAATGCTGCAGCTCAAATAAAGGCTGAATACGGGCGGGGCTTATATAGGGGTACGTGGCACCATCGCAGAGCCACAAAAACCTCACTCTGAAGACCTGGGGTCACAGTAACACCTAAACGCCACTCTAGGGTTAAGAATACATGTTAGAGGACCAACGTTATGATTATGATTATCATTTCAACATTACTATCGGTCTCCCTTATCAGTATCACTTCCGTCGTTCAACCTACTTTGCCTCGCGAAACTAGCCAGAGATACTGAGAAACCGACTGATGCAACTCTTTCTGCCGTCCATCCATCCCATCGAATGCGTTGGGAAACAGCGGTCCCTGTAATGCGGAAACCGCCATTCCATCTGTTGCTTTAAGATTATAATGCTGAGATTACAATAGTAGTAGCAGTAGTAGTAGTAGTGGTAAAAGTGGTGATGTGCGTAGTAATAGTACTAGTAGTGGAGGTAGTAGTATTTAGTAGTGATAGCAGCAACCACAGCGGCAGTAACAGTAACAGAAGTAGTAGTAGTATTGCAGTATTGCAGTACTTTATATTACTAGTTGTTTTGTTTCGTAGCAGTACTGTCAGCTATATATTTTTTTTTCTTTTTCTTTTTCATGACAGACGATCTAAAATTAACAACTATAACATTTGTTGATTTATCGTAAATATTTTGTGCAATTATAAGGTCACGCACAGTGTTCTTTCTTGAATCCTCTTGTACAGCCCAAAATAGCATCAGATTAAGACCCATCTCTCTGCATAGCCCCTTATTTTTTCCTCTCTCTCTATTTCTTTTTATTCTTTATTCTTCAGGTCGACTCCGTGTCGAGGACAAGCACGCCACTCGCGGGGAGGAGGCGCTTGAACGAGCTGCAGATTTACGATCGCATGAACGCCCTGGAAAGGAAGCTGAACGCCTACCAGAGCAGCGTCACTCTGGCGCTAGAGAAGATTTTGGACGCGTTCGATGAAATGAAAAAGAAAACGACGAAGTAGGCCAACAGCTGAGCGGAAGGAAGTTGCGATTTATGCAAGTGTCTTGGATGTTTATAAGAACCTTTGGTGTGATTTACGGTTGTGTGCAAAAGAGTTTTGTAGTGTCATTGGTTAAAAATCAGCGTTTCTATTAGTTGGATTAGCTTTAAAAAATGTGGTATTTCCAGAAATTCAAATTGTTTCCTTGAGACAGAAACATTTGTACATAAGTACAAATAATACCATCTCAAACTTATTTTGGAATATAATGTTTAAAAAGATGATGATTTTTTTTATTTTATTTTATCAATTTCTTAACAGAGGTTGAATTGTGTTTATAGCTACAATACATTTCGCATGTTTTTGGATCACCGTGCCTCTTTGTGAAATTACTTGTACTAACTTATTACCTGATATTCATCAACATTATATCACATACCTTTCATCATAACCATAATTGTATTTGTCGCCGTTGAAAGTATCACACAAATCCTTCACTTCAGTGTCTCAGCATTTTCAATTTGTCTCCTTTTCCGGCCAGATTTCCTCATTCGAATGAATTCCTTGACCTGTATGAAATAGCCTGATAATAAAAAATATTGCATTTAATATCAGTAAGCTATACAACTCCACGAAAAATAATTTTACATAATACATATATATACATTTTGCATGTATAAATAAATTATATATATATATATATATATATAATATTATATATATATATATATATATATATATATATATAGATAGGTTGCCATGGAACTTCCAGCTGGGAAGTGGAGACATGCAATAAACTTCACGACCAGTGTTAATAGAAAAACAAGCATTTTCTTTCTTCTTTAATCCAACTAA